AAATCCGCAAGGGTCTTCTTTTGTCTATTAATCTGCATTCTTGTAAAAGAATATTTCATAAATTCGTCAGCTAATAACTTAGTTCTTCTGCCATTTTTTAGAAACCTGTAGTGATGCCTCATCCGCTTCCTATATAGAGTACTGAATTATTCTTAGTCTGCCCGAACTGCCTAGTTATACTAGGTGTGGTAGTAGACCTCTATGTAATTAGTATTTTATATGTAAACCACACAATATCCTATAAAATGTAAACCCTACATTGTAATCTTTATAGTGAATAAACTTGATTGATTGATTGATGTGTTGTCAATATTCAAGAGTAAGTTTCATTAATTGTTTACTTGTTTCAGTCGGATAAATTTTAAGTGACTCTTGAAGGTTTCACTCCTCACTCAAAACATTATCTTTTGCAAACAAACTCTGGAACTTCACATTTTAAAACATTTAATTGTCCGATTCGTCAATTTTTGTCACCGTTCTTGATTCTTAGTATTTAATCTTTCACACTTCATTCGCTTTTTAGGAAAATGAATATGATATTTGTTTTCTTTGTGCTCTTGTCTTCTTCTGTCTTTTTTTTCATTTTCTTCCATCATTACAATGGTAAACGGTATTTACTTCTGGCTTATTTGAATCTCTGGTATATGTCTGGATTGGTGAGCTTCCAGTTTTACCTCCAAGGCTTTACTATTTTTTCCATAGTTTTCCCTGGAGTTTATTTGTGTCCTCTCCTGCTCTTTATCCTTCTGATGAATTTTACATCGTCAGGAAAGAGGCACATTAGACTCTCCCTGACGGTAACTATTTACACAGTATGAACGACAGCAGTGTTAATAATGATCTTTACGGAAAACCCGGCCGTTATCTCTCTCATTCTTATGTCTCAATTCCTTACTGTCCTTACTGTCCTTACTGTCACTTTCAAGGATCGAAAGCAAAGAAAATGATAGGATGGATAATGAGAAAGTTCAAAAGAAGAGATGCCAAGTCAGTGATGATCTTTTTCAAATCACTTGTTCTCTCTGGGCTGGAATTTTGCTGTACATTAACATCTCCATTCAAAGTAGATGAAATTGCAGATCTAGAGAGTGTACAGAGATCCTTTACTGTACATATAAGTTCTATCAAACACCTCAACTACTGGGAACGCTTGGAAGCACTTAGCTTGTAATCGTTGGAACCTGGCGAGAGATATATAACATAATCTACACTTGGAAAATCCTAGAAGGAATGGTCCCGAATCTGCACACAGAAATCACTCCCTACGAAAGTAAAAGACTGGGAAGGCGATGCAATATACCCCCAATGAAAAGTAGGGGTGCCATTGGTACCCTAAGATAAAACACCATAAGTGCCCGGTGCCCAAGACTATGTGCGGCTCAGCAGTAACAGCCTGGTTGATCAGGCCCTGGTCCACCGAGAGGCCTGGTCGAGGACCGGGCCGCGGGGGCGTTGATCCCCGGAATACCCTCCAGGTAGACTCCAAGTACTGTCTAAATGCCTCCTTCACCAGCTGTATATCACCCTCACCAGCTGTATACTTCTTCACCAGCTGTATACCTCTTCACCAGCTGTATACCATCCTTACCAGCTGTGTACCTCTTCACCAGTTGTATATCACCATCACCAGCTGCATATCTCCACCAGCTGTATATTACCCTCACCAGCTGTATATTACGCTCACCAGCTGTATACCTCTTCACCAGCTGTATATCGCCATCAGTTGCATATCACCATCACCAGCTGTATATCTCTTCACCAGCTGTATACCTCTTCACCAGCAGTCTACCTCCCTCGCCAGCTGCATACCACTCACAGTCTGTATACCAGACTAACACAGAATCCTGTCAGCAAAGCAACAATTCAAAAAGAAGGACCTAGCATTTATCACAGTCTGGGCTCAAGATTCTGAAGGTCACTAACAATGTGAGTCAGTGTAATATTCACGAGATGGCATACAGTGGTAGATGTAACGGGATACAGGCGGATTTAGCTGGATGTAAGGAAGACGTAGTTATAAACAGGGATGGATGTAGCTGGATACAGAAAAGATTTAGTGGATACAGGGTACATATAGCCAGATACGGTAAAAGGTGTAGCTGGATATAGGGTAGCTGAGGGCGAGTGTAGAGTATATTTAGTCAGGTACAGGGGTAGATGTAGCTGGATACAGGGTATATGTAACGTAATGTGTATTATATATAGCATGAGTGATTGACAAACAGCAATCATCAAGGGAGATGTTACTACCTTGTCGGGCGTGTAATACAAGAGCCTGTTAAACGTTTGCACTCTGACAGGACTGCTGGTCTTTCCTTCCTATCTCACGAACATGCGATACGGCAGATAAATCTTACAAAATTCTACTTAAATCCAGTATGCACTGCAGCATCACATTTCTCTGTGTTTCTTAATAAATCGTATTATTCGGAAAAATTATTTTTATGTGAACTGATCCGAGACGATGATCACGGAAACCACTGACAGATATAGAAGTGTGAACTCAGATTAAGTTGTAATAAACAACTGTCGATGAATAAATAGACGGGTGGTCGAGGGGCTCGAACCGCGATTCGTAAATTGATGGTACGACGCTCTACCGTCTAAGCTAACCCAGGAAGTAACGCTGTATTATATTCCGTCAGAGGCACCAACTGTAACCCAACTGAACTCCTTCCCTCGTCCCAGGAACTTTAACAGTAGATTTGTTCTTACCCTGTCAAGGCCACATCGTCTATGAACTCAAATTCAGTTATCATAAACAAATGTCAATGAACAAACAGAAGAGGTAGGTACAGTTGGTGTCTCTGACGGTATGTAGCAGTAAGGGCTACATCCGAATCATTTCTATTAGAGGGCTGGGTTAGCCTAGACGGTAGAGCGTCGGACTGTCAATTTATGAACTGCGGTTCGAGCCCCTCCACCCTTTTCTTTATTCATATAGATGTATATATTATTAGGAAGTGTTAAGTCCTACGGGCTTAACGCTTTCTGATTATGTCTTCATTCCACATTCCCATTCCTGATAACACTTCCTGGGGAATGAGAATAATTTAGGTTTGATCTATGGATGGGAAGAGCAGCTTCAGCTTTGATAAAATCTTGTTAGGAATAAAGTGTGGGCTAAAATAGTTATTATGAAGGTTGTGTATAGGTACAGAGTTAAAAAAAGGACGGTGTCTGTGAAAAACAGAAGAGGGAAGGACATACATGGGTGATAAGACACAAAGAACATTATATTATATAGGTGTGAGTCACTGGACCTGTGTGAGGGTCAGCGCAAGGAGTGATGGAACCTCAGTCCGCTATGAGCGAATCAGTCACGCTATTCTGGCAGCCAAACTGGCCCGGATTCAGGGAATTCTTGTGCAAGCTTCTATGTAAGGAAAAATGTAAAGAGCCTGGATACTTAGTGAGGTCAATTATTGGAAAGTTGTGAGATAGATGCAAAAAGAACAAGGTCTTGTCCATATGGAAACACTGGGGTGAATGATCTGACAATCTTGTTCATTATCTCTCACCCTCTCTCATTCAGTTGTACTCACTGGAGATGTACTTCAGTAGTTAGATGTAAAGAGTGGAATTCCTCTTCACATATTTTACTTAAATGAACCAGCAAAGATGAGAGACCTAAGCAGAAACAAAGGAGAAACATAAGCAGGGTCAGGAGAGAGATTTATGCAGGAACAGAGAGAGATTTAAGCAGGAACATAAAGAGATTAAAGCAGGAACAGAGAGACTAAAGCAGGAACAGAGAGAGATTTAAGCAGGAATAAGGAGAGATATAAGCAGGGACAGGGAAGGCATAAGCAGGAACAGGAGAGATATTTAAGCAGGAACAAGGGACAGATCTAAAACGAAACAACAGGAAAAGACATTTAAGTTGGCACAGGAGAGAACTAAGCAAGAACAAGGGAAAGATCTAAGCAGGAATAGGAGAAAGATCTGAACATTAACAGGGAAGGGGGAATCTTAGCATTAACGAGGACGTATCAAAACAAGAACAGAGAGGAAATTTAAGAGGCACGTAAGTTCCTCCGTCTCCTAATAACATGTTCATTTTTCCACTATAATCTACCTTGTCCATAATTACTATCGCATTTACTTTGTCTGTTTCGGAAGGTGAAGTCCAGGATCTTTCCTTAATTCATGGTATAACTTAACAAATCATTGAGAACAATTGTATTACAGAGGCCCGAGCTTTGCTCAGATAGTAATTATGGACAAGGTAGATTATAGTGGACAAATGAGCATGTTATTAGAAGACAGGGGTACTTACATACCCCTTAAGCAGAAACAGGGAAAATTTCTATAACTGGCAGGGAAGAAATCCAAGAAGAAACAGAGGAGAGACATGAGTAAGAAGGTAAAAATCAAATGAGGAACAAGAAATTTAAGCAGTAACATGGTAAAGATCTAAGTATGAAGAGGAGGAGAGATATAAGCAGAAACAGGGGAAATATCTAAGCAGTAACAGGGGAGATATTTAAGTAGGAACAGGGAGACATTTAAGTAGAAACAGGGGAAATATCTAAGAAGTAACAGAGGAGAGATTTAAGTAGGAACAGGGAGACATCTAAGCTGGAACAGGGGAGAGATCTGAGCAGGGAGTGGTGGATGATTTAAGCAGGAACAGAGGAGAGATATCAGGAGAAGCTTGAACTAGAAAGATATCTAAGCAGGAACATGAGAGAGATCCGAGCAGAAACAGAGGCAAAATGAGAGCAGTAACAGGAGAGAAATACAAGTAGTAACAGGGGTAAAATCCAAGCGGTAACTGGAGGCAAGATCCAAGTAATAACAGGGGCAAGATCTTAGCAGTAACGGGCAAGATCCAAGCAGCAACAGGGACAAAATCCAAGCAATAACATGGGAAAGATTTAAGGAGAAACACATAGAGGGCCAAGCTGTAAGGGAGGCAAGATCAAAGCAGAAACAGAAGAGATATCCAAGCAGTAATAGGAGTAAGATCAAAGCAGAAACAGGAGAGACACCCAAGCAGAAAGAGGAAAAAGATATAAGCAGAAACAGGAGAGAGATCCAAGGAGTAACAGGGGCAAGATCCAAGCAGAAACAGGAGAGAGATCCAAGCAGTAACAGGGGAAAGATCCAAGCAGTAACAGGGGCAAGATCCAAACAGAAACAGGGGATCAAGATCTAAGCAGAAACGAGAGAGAGATCCCAACAGTAACAGGAGGGAGATCCAAGCAGTAATAGGGGGGGGCAAGATCCAAGCAGTAACAGGGTCAAGATCCAAGCAGTAACAGGGTCAAGATCCAAGCAGTAACAGGGTCAAGATCCAAGCAGTAACAGGGTCAAGATCCAAGCAGTAACAGGGTAAAGATCCAAGCAGTAACAGGGTAAAGATCCAAGCAGTAACAGGGTAAAGATCCAAGCAGTAACAGGGTCAAGATCCAAGCAGTAACAGGGTCAAGATCCAAGTAGTAACAGGGTCAAAATCCAAGCAGTAACAGGGTCAAGATCCAAGCAGTAACAGGGTCAAGATCCAAGCAGTAACAGGGTCAAGATCCAAGCAGTAACAGGGTCAAGATCCAAGCAGTAACAGGGTCAAGATCCAAGCAGTAACAGGGTCAAGATCCAAGCAGTAACAGGGTCAAGATCCAAGTAGTAACAGGGTCAAGATCCAAGCAGCAACAGGGTCAAGATCCAAGCAGTAACAGGGTCAAGATCCAAGCAGTAACAGGGTCAAGATCCAAGCAATAACAGGGTCAACATCCAAGCAGTAACAGGGTCAACATCCAAGCAGTAACAGGGTCAAGATCCAAGCAGTAACAGGGTCAACATCCAAGCAGTAACAGGGTCAAGATCCAAGCAGTAACAGGGTCAAGATCCAAGCAATAACAGGGTCAACATCCAAGCAGTAACAGGGTCAACATCCAAGCAGTAACAGGGTCAAGATCCAAGCAGTAACAGGGTCAACATCCAAGCAGTAACAGGGTCAACATCCAAGCAGTAACAGGGTTAAGATCCAAGCAGTAACAGGGTCAAGATCCAAGCAGTAACAGCGTCAAGATCCAGGCAGTAACATGGGAAAGATCTAAGCATGAACAATGAATAATTCAAAACAGGCGCTTGGTAAACAAATACCAGAAACATAGTACCTCTCCTGGCCAGGCGTGGTGTATCCCTGCACCTCTGTCTTGCCTCTCTTGTAACGGAGTTTTGTGGTCTCGTCAAGTTCAAAGAACTTCCCCGACTGTGTGTTGACTTCGTCCACCTGTCGGGTCAAAGTTGATGTCGGTTTTATTGGGAATTATTGCCAACAGTGGTAACATTTAGGGTCGAAAACAATCTATTACACTAAGTCTTAATTACGACATGGACTCAACATATGAGCTGTGTTGCTCTCTATGTGGACTACTCACCATGTGGGCGAGGCTACGCACCGTGTAAGGAGTCTACTCACCGTGTGGGGAGCTCATCATGAGGGAGTAGACACTCACCCTGTGGGAGTGGATACTCACCATGTTAGAGGAGACACCATGGTTACTGAGATACACGAAGCCTATTTCACTGAACGCTTTCACAAGCTTCTCTCCCACACTCCGCCAGTCTTCCTCACTCGGGTCCTTAGGACCACCGACACCTGTCAAGGAAGGAAGAAGACAAAACACCTGTAGCAGCACATGTTTGATCTGACACATCTCTCGTTACCTGAGGAATGCTGCAATGTATTAATTAACGAGGTATTTTTTGCTGCTAAGTTAAACCATGATATCTGTCGGGCATATTTAGAAATTAACAGCATTTAACGAAGCAGAAGCAAGTCATGAAAACAACACTAACACAGCAGCAGGTGATGATAATAGCACTAACACAGCAGCAGGTGATGATAATAGCACTAACACAGCAGCAGGTGATGATAATAGCACTAACACAGCAGCAGGTGATGATAATAGCACTAACACAGCAACAGGTGATGATAATAGCACTAACACAGCAACAGGTGATGATAATAGCACTAACACAGCAGCAGGTCATGATAATATCACTAACACAGCAACAGGTGATGATAATAGCACTAACACAACAGCAGGTCATGCAAACAGCACTAGCATAGCAGCAGGTCATGAGAACAGCACTAACACTAGAGCACTAACATGAGAACAACACTAACAGCTGTGTGCTGTGTTAATTCTGCTATAATAGCAAAATTGACACAATGGGTTATGAAAGCAGCTTTAACACAGCAGCAGCAGCAGCTTATGAGAGCAGCACGAACACAGCCCCAGGACACTCATGAGAACAGCCCTGACACTGCACCACTTTATGACAACAGCCTTAATACAGCAGTAAGTCATAAAAGAAGCAGTAATACAACATTAGATAATGAAAACATTAATAACACAAGAAAAAACTGTATCATTTGGCATATTACTGAACGACATTGTTCTCGTGTGTGTGTGTGTGTGTGTGTGTGTGTGTGTGTGTGCTCACCTAGTTGTGGTTTAAGGGGTCGAGTCACAGCTCCTGGCCCCGCCCTTCCTGCTTCATGAGCTTCATTATACATTTTCTTAAAGCTATGTATGGATCCTGCCTCCACTACATCACTTGCCAGACTCATCCGCTTCTTGACAACTCTGTGACTGAAGAAATACTTCCTAAAATCCCTGTGATTTATCTGAGTCTTTAACTTCCAATTGTGACCCCTTGTTGTTGTGTTCCATCTCTGGAACATCCTGTCTCTGTCCACCTTGTCAATTCCTCTTAGCATTTTATATGTTGTTATCATATCCTCCTTATCTCTTCTGTCGTCCAGTGTCGTCACATCGATTTCCCTTAACCTCTCCTCGTAGGACATGCCCATAGCTCTGAGACTAGTCTTATTGCAAACCTTTGCACTTTGTCTAATTTCCTTACGTGCTTGGCTAGGGGTGGGTTACAAACTGGTGCTCCATACCCCACTATAGGCCTGACATACACGGTGTACGGAGTCCTGAACGTGTGTGTGTGTGTGTGTGTGTGTGTGTGTGTGTGTGTGTGTGTGTGTGTGTGTGTGTGTGTGTGTAACCAGCATGTCCCTAAATAAACTAACTTCTGATCATCTGAGAGGCTACATGCACAGTTTACTTGAACTATACAAGTGACCAGTTTACCGAACAGCAACAGTGAACAGTACAGGATCAGACAAGCAAGAAGAGACACAGAAGTGCCCTAACTGGGGACTAATGACATCTCCATTAAGATAAAAGCTTCCAAATTACTGAATCGTAGTTCAATAACTTCCAAACCCTGACTTCGACAGTACGTTGATGCCAGTCATAACATTGTAGATCGAGAGTAAGACTCGGGACCTGAATAATGTGGTAAGACTTACGACACAGCAACAAAATACGAAAAAATCACAAACTGTAAATAAGTCACTGGAATAGAGAGTTCCACCGAGGACAAGAAGAATGTCTCTGTTCACCAATGAGAACATACCCTTCCACAAAACAGAGTGTACGTGACACTAGCAGAGTTCTCTCAGACAGAGAAAAAGAGATCCTACAACGATGGTCAGGCAGCAACACAGAGACGCAACAATTGCAAGTGTAAGGTCAGGTACACTCCTAGTTTACCACGCATACCAGAACGCCAACTAGCGAATAAACATTTAGCAGCGCGGGCAAACAGTCGAAACTCGCGATTCTTTGAGCACAAAGAGTAGAGTGTGAAACCATCTTACTTATTAATGTAACTAAATAAATAAGGCAGATACTAAAGACATGATATTTTCATTGTAGCTTCTATCGAAAAAAAATTAGCAATAAAACCTTAGAAAAAAAAATACAAACTATTATATATATTTTTTTTTTATTTTTCATGAAGATTCAACAGATAACAGCACTAACACAGCAGCATCAGAAATGAGAGCAGCACTAACACAGCAGCAGTATGTCATAAGAGCAGCACTAACACAGCAGCAGTATGTCATAAGAGCAGCACTAACACAGCAGCAGTATGTCATAAGAGCAGCACTAACACAGCAGCAGTATGTCATAAGAGCAGCACTAACACAGCAGCAGTATGTCATAAGAGCAGCACTAACACAGCAGCAGGAATGAGATCAGCATTAACACATCAACAGGAAGTCATAAAAACAGTACTAACACAGGAGCAGGTTTTGAGAACAGCAGCAGGTTGGGAAAACAGCACTAACGCAGCATCAGCAATTCCTGGCAATAACACTAACACACCAGCAGCAGATTATGAAGGCAGTATTAAAGCAGCAGCAGCAGGTCATAAAATCAGCACTAATAAAACAACAGCAGGTCATGAGAACTGCCCTACCACAGCAGCAGGTCATGAGAACAGCCCTATCACAACAGCAGATTACGAGAGCAGCCCTATCGCAGCAGCAGGTCATCAAATCAGCCCTTTTACAGCAGCAAGTTATGAAAACCTCACAAACACAACAAGTAGCAGATCATGAGCGGTGCGCTAACACAGCAGCAGTAGGTCATGGCGCAGTGTATGAGAGTTGGATCAATAGATCAGACACATCACTGCAGTCGTGCTCTAATTACATATATATATAATATATATATATATATATATATATATATATATATATATATATATATATATATATATATATATATATATATATATATATATACATGCATGCATATTTATTTCTACTTTCATTTTCTGAGGCGATATTTACATGCGGCGAGAGATAATTTGATATAGTGCTAAAAATTATGATAAAAAACGACAAAATTAACAATAATAATAATAATAATAATAATAATAATAATAATAATAATAATAATAAGAAGAAGAAGAAGAAGAAGAAGAAGAAGAATTAATATTTTCAAGTAAGACGTCTTTGATACAAAGATTTGCAACATGGAAGAGCCAACAGTCACGTAAGGTATTATGTGCAGACTTAATTAAGCTAAGAGTAGAACCCAGCAGTAACAGTACAGAAGAACGTTAATAGTGTGAATGGTAGCGACTGAGAAGCTATTATGTTACGAGGTAAGTTGCTGCATCACACATTGATTGCAACACGAAAGAAATTATACATAATTACCAGAAACTTTTTGTTCCGCTCGTCCTTGAACCGAATTTTTCTTTTTCTGGTTATCGGTATCACCACGTTCGTTTAAAATCCAAGTGTTGCAATTTAGAAGCTTAATATACTGGATATATATATTTAAATCAAGAAATATTGCAATTATGAACAGGTTTGGACCAGCGGTTACTTGATTTAAAACAGGGGCTGAAATAATCTCTCTGTATATGTACAACTGAAGTTAAACATTTCTGTAGGTGTTGTTGTGCGTTGATGGCCACACATCCGCTGCGACGATGATACAGGAGATCTATAATATGTTAGATATAATTACGTAAGTGAATGCATTATATGCTCAATGTAGGTGCTGTAAGTAGGAGCTCAGACAGGTTTTATTCGGAGATTTATTTAACGTGCTACCGTTTGGTAGGGACCGCTTACGTACATGGTGTGACATTATCGAAAGCTTTCTTACATAGTGTGAGCATTCATACACAGTGTGTTTCCCTACAGCGCTAAATTTTCATACATAGTGTAAAGTTTTCCTATATAGAGCAGAGTTTGTAAATCATGATTCATCAGTTTAGTGGATGATACCATCGCGCTTTGTGCGCTTAATATAACGTTAATGAAGTTTCCCAAATAAAACTCTGTAATTTATTTTTATCAAAGAAATCTTTACTCTAGCATTTACCTTCGTAAAAAAAAAGTCACTGAAAGACAGACACAGACACATTTGACCTTAATGCTCACTGATGCCTCTCACTAATAACCATATTTAAAAAAAATATGCAGTATGTACGTATATATGTTTCCAATATCTTGTACTCTACTGTTAGCAATAAGTATTTTGCCTGTCTCATGGACTTGTAAGATGGTAGATAAATCCTACAAATATTTGCCTACATTTACAATACACTTCGAATAAAGATTTAAAAAATTAAAGATTAATATAAAAATATACTCAAATACTAAGACTGCTCAGGGAAAAAATCTCAAGATACTTCCCAGAATAATGTTTATTCTCGTCTCCGAGGCTGTGGGTTAATACTAAACATAGCACCTCATACTTTTTCTTTCCTATACTTCTTATTAGTTCTTATTACTGTATAGTTTCGTCTAATTTTCCCTTGGGGAAATAAGTTATAATTTTTTTCCACACCCATACGTGTTGAATAAAGGCAACTAAAAAAAAATAAAATATGCTACCGATTATCTATTTTTCTGCCTGCGATTGGTATAATGAAATAAAATGTGGAAGTTTTAAAGTTAGAGTGTTTGAATACGGATGGATATAGGACAGATGTTAAATTAGGATGAATGTTAATATTATTACTGAAAGGAGAATGTATGTCACAGAACAAAGTGACATTTTAAATCAAGCGAGACAGTTTGAATAGGGAAGATTTACAAAGTGATGAGTAAAATAGTAATAAGAATACTGTGTAGTAGGAATACAATACTGGAATGAACAACAGATGTTTGCAGAAGGGAAGATTGTAATACACAAATATTTCTCACATATAAGAATCTTATGACGACTTAGACCATTTGCATATCACACAAACACATTATATGTAGGA